AGCAAAGGTGAAGATGTCCTCTGGCTTACAGCCATTCCCATGGTAATTTAAGTTACATGTATCTCACCTCAGTAGCTCCCAGAAGTTTTATTATATGGTTTATTTTTTTAAATCTGGAAACTGCCCGTGAGGATTGGTTGAGTCTGTTTCTTTTAGGTTAATCTTTTGTTCCAAAGCATTTACAAAACCTGCTGTCACATATTTAGAGGAGATTCTGCTTGTGTTGCATTCCACTGTGGGGAGCTGCGAGGAGTTATTTTAAAACTGAGGATTAAACTATAACTAGGATTAAATTAATTCAAATGAGATCACATTCCATCTGAGAACCGCTAATTGGTAACGAAAAAAGTTTCCCTTCAAAAGAGGACTAGAAAAGACAGAAAAGGAGGCAGGAAATTGGAAAAGGATGGCTAGGGAGAAAGGGGAGACAGAGAGGAAAGGAGGGCGTTGCCACTAGAGGGTCAGCGAGCGCTGTCGAGCGGCACAGGGTGTGTGTGCGCGGCGTGCCAGGGAGCCCGCCCGGCGCTCGGGGGCCGCGGCTCCGCAGCGCAGCTCCCGCCGTGACCGGGCCGCCGGACACGAGGTGAGTGCAGATCGGACAGCATGGCAGCGGGGGTCCGGCAACGGGCTGCATCGCAGTGATGCCCGAAAGATGGGCTGGAAATAAACCCCTATAGACCAATGTCTACAGAGCAGGTATTTGTCTATTGCAGCGCTGGTGGTGAGGGGGATTTCTCCACCTAACTCACCCAGCTTTGACAAGTGCTGTGGTATATTTATAACTAAGTATTGCTTAATGTTGCTATGTCATTATAACACCATAACATACGTGCAGGAATTAATTTACGTAGTATGATCTTATGGTTGTTAGTTCTTTTGCACTGCACTTGTGCCTCCCCAATTCGAGGGTCGTTGGGAGTCTTTGATAAAGGCTTGCAAGGTCTTCTTTGCATCTGAACTTTTCAACTTTGTCTTCGTAGCATGCATAGATACGGTGTTCCTTGGTCTGTCTGGTCCTAACCGGCCTAAAATCTTTGTTTTGTGGCTCATTTGCCTTACATTTGCCAATTTCTCATTAGTACTATATTTATCTATCACTAAAGCCATCCACCTTTATCACCTGACAAGTGTTTTTCTTCTTGTTTTCCCTATTCAGCATTAAGCAGCTAGTGAACCATATGTTAACCATTGCATTGTATAGAAAGTTATTTATATCAGGTTATATAGGTATAAAAAGCTATGATTCAGGTTATATTGATATCAGGTTATACAGATATATCAGGTTATATTGATATCTTATAACTCAAGCTATATAAGCACCTTGTACCTTTGACCTAAGTTATATAGGCATCAAGAGGCAGGCAGAGGGTTGGACACAGGTGGTTCAGGCAGGAGCACAGGGATGAAGCGGGCAGGGCACCTGTCAGGGGCACAGGGAGGCAGGACAGGTGGTTGCTGGGACGGGAGAACGGGTAGGGCAGGACACAGCTACACACGAGGCTCAGAGGTCAGCCAGTGTCCTGCCAAGCGCCCAGTGAGAGGAAGGGCAGACTGTACGTGAGGACAAGCTAGGGCCAGCAAGGGCAGGAGAGCCAAAAGGCAGGCTGGGGCCAGGGCAAAAGAGACAAAAAACAGTCTAGGGCCAGGGCTAGAAGCAGACCTCAGCAGGCTGGAGCCAAAGCTAAAAACACAAGACTCAAAAGGCCCCCAGACTCAAAAAGCCAAGACACAGAAAGCCAAAGCTAAAAAGCCTTATAGCTTCTGATACAGTTAATTTTATGCCCCCTGGCTCCTTCCAAAGTCCCCTGCTGACAGCAGACCATTAGCCAAGTGCAACATTCCACTGCAGTCCATTGGTGGAGACCTTTTGCCATCTGATCAGTGAACCTCTCTGGAGGGTACAGTGCCCTTGGTGTTCTCCTGCTGACTGCCTGTCCCATGTGAGACGTGAAATGGTTGGCAGAGGAAATTTCCCCAAAGAAAAGGCTTTCTCCCATTGTGGTTACTGTGCTGCAAAGAGAGAGAAAAGACAGCAACACACACGGAGCTCTTTGGGGAAAAAAGGCCAATTTATTGTACAGACAGCCCGGATTTAAAGTGTGTTAGTGCAGCTAGGACAGGACAGGAGCTCATTGGACAATTGGGAAAACCATCCTTGGGACAGCACCTCAGGATGTGTCCCACGGGAAAGACACCAGGTGTTAATCTTTATGATGAATTCCACTCTGTTTGTCACCATGTTATCACCCTGGGAGACTCCTCCCTAACTGAAGCTGCATTCAGCTTGTCAGCCTGGGAATGGAGCTGAGAGTCAGGAGAAATCCAGGCCTGAAAAGAATTTCCAAGCTGTAATTCCCTAGCTCTCTAAATGTGTGTGTCCACATCCCATCTTATCTTAGTTGCCTCCTGCAACTGGCACATGTGCAACCCTTCCTCCACATATCTCTGACAATCAGTGTTGAGACAAATCTAAATGAAATTGGCTCTTTACAGCTTGACATGCATTTTGTGTGACCAAGTTACCTATTACCAGATGAACAAATACCGGTTAAGTGACGTGTGTAGAAACAAAATAAACTCACCTCAGTTTCACATAAAAAAATGTTATTTTCTATTTCCACTAGTGTATTTGAAGTCTCTTAGAAGCAAGTTTAGATTTCTTAATTGGATGGTAAAATAGGAGATGTGTAGAAGCCCTTTAAATCTGGCAAGCTTCACATAGGGCTTCAGATTTAGTGATGAATCTTCCCTTTGAGACATTCAAAAAGTAAAGGCTTAATGTATTTTCCAGTCTTGTGACATTTTGAAGAAAAATATTTATAGAATGTCCGTATACAAAATCCAGGTAGTTATAACCACCATGCTAAAGAGGAGCCTTTGCTTAGGTTAAACACTAAGCATATAGATAATACTAAAATTATTAGGCAATCCACTTACATAAGGTGAGAAATTTATGTACAAAACCAGTGTGTGGACTAATGGATAGATTATATAATGTTTGTATGAAGTACATTACGGAGAAACTTTGAAATTAAATACTTAGGGGTTTAATATGTATATCCAGACCTTTGGATATCTCCTGCTTCCCCCATTTAGTAAGCTGGAGGAGCTTCCTGGTGGCCTTAAAATTCTAAAGCAAATTCTGGTTCTCATGGTCTTGTCCTAAGCAGGTGCCTACAGGAGCACCTACTATATCTAGTACACAGAGAAAAGCATCCCTATCCCCAGAGGAACTGCGTGGCTGGCTCAGAAGACTGCTTTGTTCTAGAATTCCTTACACATTGAGACATAAGTGGAATAATTTGAAAAATTCGACCATTTCAGTTGCTCAGGTGCTTGATTTCATGTGGATGTGAATACCATGCTTTGTGCTGGACAATTCAGCATTGTCCAGGTGTCAGGCAATGCGATTCATTATCATCAGGTAAACTGTTAACCTTGAACAGAGAACTCCTGAAACGAGCACAAATGTAGCAAAAGTTTGTGGCATGTTGAAATTATATTTTTTTAAACCCTAAAGCATAACACAATTTTTCAGCCATACATAATAAAATTTTGTCCAAGAAATCTCAGAAGGATACTGCAGCCAGTCTTGCAATATAAATATTTTCATGGTTCAAAGGAAAATTGCAGTATGGTAGAAATACACACCCCCACCCCCCACACATGTATTTATTTATTTATTTATTTACACATTTGTATAAAAGAAAATATATTCAATCTGGATATAAACACAGTTTTGGATAAAAGGTGTTTAAGTCTGTATGCACAAAACTAGCTGTACTGCATTGCAGGTGAGGATTAGTAATTACTGTATTCCAATGGACTACTATCCATAAACACAAGAAAAGGGGAAAAAAACCAGTATTCTGCTTTGCTATACTCAAATGAATAAAAACAAATGGAGACCCAAGGGTCCTGCAGCCTACTTCTAAACTGCAGTAAAGGAAAAATAAGGACTGATAAGTCCAGTGGGCCTTTGTGAGTCAAAATACTGAAGCCCAGGACATTTTTTTTTGTGCACAAAGACAGCTGGTGAGACTTTTGTCCTGGTAGCATCAATATTTTGCCCTGTGAGCTTAAGAACAAAAAGGAGAGATACTTAATAAATATGCAATATTTGACATTGATAAAGTCTATTAAAATACATATGTAATGACTATTGATTCAGGAAGCCTTCCCTGAATTTATCTGAATAAGAAAAACATTAGACCAGAACTTTTCTAATTCTAAGATATGGATACACCATCTTTCTGCACTACAGTATGCAGCTGGGTTTAAATAAAAGAGTATGTCTATAGAAAGTGATCTGGCTGTGAAAAGAGAGAGAAGCTCTCACAGAACTCTGTTGCTGTTGGTAAAGTCATGTTTACAAAGCTTTTCTTTGCAGGGAGCTGGATTCTCTTTTGTATTCCATAATATCCACAGCAGGGATTATGGTGTGTGTACTTTCATGCCTTAGGTTTTGAACATGGTTAGTAGTAGCTCTGGCTTTTGGTTTGTGGAATTCATTTTGAGGTGTCTTTTTGTGAGAAACTGAAATGTTATGGCTAAGGACTTAAACATTGTTATGAAGGACTTCTTGTCCTTTATGGTAAAACTATATAACAAAATTGTGACCACTAAAGCCCACCCCTTCCTGAATATCCCTCCTGATTGGAACTTTGGACTGTGAGTTAAGCCACGTAAGGGAACATGAGATATGATAATAGTGACACTATTGTCAGTTACCTCGGGTCTAAGGAGAAGTAAACAAAGCTGAGGAAGAAGAACATATCCACAAGAAAGCTAGACCCAGCATCTGTCCTGAAAATCCCCTCTGGCTGGATTCAGGGTAGGGGAGGTCATAGCCCACAAACTCATTTGCTGAGACCAGGTTTGCACACACTCTTACTCCAGCCAAGGGGAGAGGAGGTTTTAGGGCTGTTGCATAATCTCTGCTCAGAAGAAGTATCAACAAAAGACAGCCAACCTGATGGATCAAATTGAAAGGATTTTTAAATAGATGTGTCTGAGTACACCCTCTGTAAGCAACATATAATGAATATTCCTGAAGTCTAGGTAGTTGGAAGGGAAGGGAGAATCATTGTAACACTGTCCTTTTACTGTACTGACTTCTTCAGTGATAAGCTGCTCTTCGTGATGTTTTAGGAACTCCACGACAGAGTTCCCTCTGACGTCTGCCTCTGACGTTTTCGATGTAGAGCACAAAAGGCAGAGGGCGGCTCACGCTCTGCTGAGGACCGGAGTCCCTAGAGGCCGGGTGTGTTGCCTGCTGCTGGTGCGGAGGAGCGGGATCCCACTCCCTGGGAGCACTCAGCCTTGTCGGCGTGCTGCACGCCGCCCAGCAGCTCAGCATGAGCCCGGGCATACGGAAGGTGGAAGCTTTGGACGAGGGTCATTTCGTCTGCGTGAAGTGGGAGGACGGAAGCGAGAGCAGCTACCCCTGCGTCTGGCTGAGGGACAACTGCCAGTGTCCCCTCTGCTTCCTGCCCTCCGCTGGAGCGCGCAGGCTGCTCTTCGAGGATCTGGATGTCAACATCGTGGTGAAGCAGGTTGCTCTGGCAGATGGCAAAAAGGTATTTGAAACAAATCATCATTCACCTTCTCGTGAAACTTGTCAACAATTCTTATTAATCTAAAATCGAGAAAATTCCAGGTTATACTGGAATCACAGTTTGCTTATTTGCAAAACTTTTAGGAAGAATGACAATTTGGGAAACTCAGATCTTTGCACCTTCATATGAAACTTCACTTTATAGTTATGCTTTGCAGAGGCTGCATAAACTCAGGCCTCAGCCTTTGTAATATAATAATGCTTTAAAAAATTCTACCATATGCTTCATCACTAGTTGTTGAAAATACAGACTTCTCTTGCCCATTTAATTACACTTACACTTTTACTCTCTTTAAGTAAATGGCTTGAAAATCTGAACAACAAATGGCAAAGTGATGATGAGCTGAATCCATAACAAAAACCAGCTTATTAGCAAATTTTCAATGTAAAATAACCTTCATCTCAGAGTGAACACTCAAACCAAAGTTGAATCCAATAATCAGAATTGACTAATGTCTGTATCATTGTCTGCTTATCTACATTAACATTTCTTCCTGAAAAATGGAAGGTTTTCGAGCAAGAAAGGTTAAGAGCTGCCTTCCTTATGAATTTCAATCTTTCCTGATATATAAAAACCTAGTATATTGTTTAGATTTTTTATGTTTTATTAAAAGCAGTACATAGCTTCTTTAGCAAACTAATTTCCTTAATTTTGTACTTAAAGATGTTTTAAACATACAGAATATGTAGCAGTCAGTCCTAGGTCACATGGGGCAGGGGCAGTTTGCAGAGGCTGACTCGTGTGAGTGTCTCAGCCACAGGGTAAGGGTCTCTGCTGAGGAATTCTGGGCTCCCAAGTTGATTGTAGACAAAATTAATACAATGTGAATTCATTATTTGATTAGGTAAATTAGGAGTTGTCTGCTTCCACTTGGAAACTAATGAAAGCATTGCACTAATACTAAAATGATACTGATAGTGTTTGACCATCATGTGAATGAGCAGAGTCATGTGAATTGGGAATTGATACCTACTCATCCACCTTAAAAATTCAGTTGAAGGTCTGTGCTGGACTGAGCTCTTTCAGTTCATGACAAGCAAAGCCATATGCTTTCTTTCCATGTTTTTTTCAGGAATTGAAAAACCCAACACTTTTTAAAAATTTATTTGATAGAGGGAAGGCTTCAAAAGTAGGAGACGGATTTCTCTCCTAGCACAAGGTCTTTTTCTTTTCTCATGACCTGTCAGTGTTTTGCAAGATATTTTCTGAGTTGGGGTGAAGTGCTCTCCCCAGTGATACGTGCTAGTTTTTACAATTCCCTTCTTTCTATTAAGTGCAGCTCCCACAGTGGAAACAGTCCACACAAACCAGCAAATTAGGTCACGGGTTGAAATGAAAATGAACATTTATAAAAAGTGTCAGAATTTGAATGGTGTTTTGAGTGGATTTTCGTTACTTGTTTGCTATCATGCTTCGGAGAAAGTTTAACTATTATATTATTGATCTAAGTATTACAATTTCTGCTGTTTCTAAGGGGTTTTGTTATTCTGGATGATGTTTTTCAAATTTCTTTTTCTAAACTCACCTTTTCCTTTGTGTTGAAAGGTCTCTCTCACATGGCCTGATGAACACACGAGTGAATATGAAGCTGAGTGGTTGAAAAAACGATGCTTCTCTGAAGAAGCAAGAGCTGTAATGCGAGCAGATTTATTTTTACCAGGTAGGAATTAAATCTGTGTCTGCCGTGCTTCTGTCAAATGCAAGGGGTTTGATGCTGACAGTCCTGGTTAGAGATCCCTGTGTGAGGACCAGGTCTACCTAGCTGAAGCAGTGGCAATAACCCTTGGTGCCCAGTGCCAGGCTGTGCATGCATGACAGGGACCCATGGTTATCTTTTCCTTCTTCTACCTTCTATATCTGAGAGAAGTAAAACTAATTGGGTTGAATTTACTTTCCTGAAAGCCTTTTCTTTCCAGAAAATGTCAGTAGGTCTTACTAATGAGCCATGGACCAGCAGTGGTCTGTGACTATGCAAGTGTGTGAGTGCTGTTTAAAGTATTTAATTTTTTTCTAATTTTTTCTAAAAATGAAGGTTATTTGGATTTGCAAGGGAGTTACAACTGAAATTTTTTTCCGCTTTTCATGGCCCTCTTGTTAAAAAGTAACTGTGTAGCACAGCGGTGTGTAGTGCTGAAGTTCAGGTTGTGTTTGCTTTGCTTCCCGTGCATATTTTAGTGGTAGACTCTCTTTAGATCACAAAGTATTTTGTGCAACGGTCTTGGGAACATTTACCCTGTACAAGTCACTTACCCTTTTAAGTGAATAATTATAAACCCGCTAGGTTTGGCATGATGCATATCATCATTACTTTGACAGCCTTTGAGACTGAGCATGAAAGTATGAAAGCTTGCAAGATGCCTGCGATTGCTCTTGACAGTGTTCCTGTGAGATCTGCTGTTGCAGAAAGCTGTGCATCTGTATTCAGTGTTAAGAAAGTATCTATTAAAATCGGACATTACTGGTTTAAAACTTAAATGATGAGAAATATTTCCATTCATTTCAGTGGATTCTATAATAGACTCTTCATAGTTCAGAATGGAACTATTTTCCCCTGGTAATATAAAAATTTATATCTACTTTAATTTTGGCAAAAATAAATGGTTTTGTTTACTATTTTGAAGGGTTTGGCATGCTTCCAGAGTGAATATAGTGAAGATATAAACCTATTCAGGGAAACTAGACTTGATTTTTCAGATGGTAAGAACTATTCTTTGTGAAAATGACTATGCTGCGAAAGCTAGCAGGATGTTTTGTGGCCTTCAAAGGGATCAACGTAAATTGGACATTGCTTTAATTAATACCCAGACAAAATAATCTAGGTCTCAGGTTGTATTCATTGGCAAAGATATTAATTACTGAGATTTCAAGAATTCAGATGTAATGCTACCTTTTCCACCTATTATGAAGTCTTAACTGGTTGTGATTTGCCTTCACATGCATGCATTTGCATTTGTAATTACTCTTGGCATCTAAATACAGTGCATGTTTTGGAAGCCAGTTCTCTGCTCTGCAATTGCTCTTCTCCATTGGAACCATCTAGGTAAAAATATACACCAAGGATCTGTTTCATTCTTCGGGCAATTCTTTTTTGAAATTCTGTTTCACATGGTCTGTCTGAAGAAATTAAGTGTATAAACATTAATTAACTGGCTTTTTTTAGTGGTGTCATTCAGCTCTTCCTCATATTCTCAGACAACCCTTGGCTCATTATGATTTACACCTTCTTGCAGTTTTTCCCAGGTTTCAGATGCAAAAAAAGGCTGCAGCCTGTGAGTTTGCTTGCTGGCTGTTTAAGATCTGTTTTTTGTTGTGTATTGTGGTAAGTTTAGATACACTTCCTTGTGGTGAGTGGAAATACACACTGCAAATTACATGCCCTTAAGTAGCTAATCATATCCCAGCAGTATAATGTTACAGACAATGATACAAAATGCCAGCCTGCATGCTGATTCAAGAAAAGAAATGCCAGACTGTTGTAGTTAAAGATTAACCTTCACTGCTGACATTATCACAGCTGTGGCTAACTATTTTTCTTTTGCAAGTGGTTATTGCTTTTAGTGCTGCTTTTTAAGAAAATGTTTTTCCATCATAGTTTCTGATTCAAAAAATATAGATGTCAGACATTGTGTCAAACCCAAAAAGAAGAGTAGGTCAGATTTTCAGTGCATGATGAAGTGACTATAAATAACTCTGTGGCAGTATGTCAAGATTTCCCTTTTAAAACATTGCCAGATCCTATCCATACAATACACAAAATCAAAATCTGCTGTTTGTGTATATCAAGACTAAATTCAGCCCAGCTTACAAGATGGTCCCAAAAGAACAGCAAAAGAGCCATATTCTACTTCTACAGCTGTATTGTCTCAAAGATACTCTCTTTTTCTTTCTGTTTACTTGAATTCTATCCAGCAGATATCACAGGAATGATTTACAATGTCTGCAATTCAGATGCTGGATGTAGTAGAGAGACTCTAAGTAAGCCAGTATCCTGTATTAATTGTGTTTGCTGAGGCTCATTTTCCAACATGCTGGCATACCATTAACAGGATGGGACTTGGGGGTTTGGGGAGGTGGGGGTGGAAATTAGATAACATCTAACATGATATTTTCCTATTGGGTGAAAAAGAAGATTCTGCAGAGCTGGTCTGTAGTGGTACTTAATACTTTTAATCTTAGGTTAGGTTAAGGTTTTAACAGCCGTTTAAAGGTTTCAGACGATGATAGTTCTTTAAAATGTGATAATATGATGCTGGAGATATATATCCAGCTCCACAAAAGTTTGAATCAGGATGTTAACAGCATCAGTGGTGTTTTCAGTTTCTCTGCTAGGTCCTGAGACATGATAATTTTAGGAGGGTGAAGTTAAAAGTAGCTTTTTACTTTAAAAGTTTGGTCATTTGAATTTATCCTGCAGTAATCAGAGTGTAATGACATGAAATAGGCTGCCATATACACTTGGCTTTCAACAAAAATTAAAATACATGCTGTAGACAAAATAATTTTAGATGAAGTAATTTTCTCTAGTCATGTCTCGACTTTCTTATATTACTCTAGAAAATTTTGATCAGCATTTTCCCAACTTGTGTAGTAAATGCTGGATAATTCCTAGTGCTGCTGCATGAACACCATCTGCAGGTACTGAGCAAAGGGCATCTTCTCATTTTATGCAAACTCTAATGTAATTAGGACTAACCTGGCATGATCAAGAAATGGGATTTTTGTTTTCTCTTTCTTTTTCCCCCCAAATTATTGTTCTGAAATTATTGAAAGAGGCATTAATTCTTTCAAAAGTGTTTCATTCTTCCCATTTTGAAAAGCACATAGATCTGGGGTTTTAGTAGTCGTAACATAAATTATCAATAAAGACACAAAATAATTTTGCAAGACTTGCTTTTATCCTATATGAGTTGTTCAGTTATATTTGCAGAGGGACCTGGACAGGCTGGATCCAGGGCCCAAATTCAAGAAGGAGAGGTTTAACAAAACCAATTGCTGAGTCCTGTACTTTGGCCACAACAAACCCTTGCAGAGCTACAGGTTCAGGTCAGAGTGACTGGACAACAGCCAGGCAGAAAGAGACCTGAGGGCACTGATTGACAGCAGACTGAACATGAGCCAGCAGTGTGCCCTGGTGGCCAAGAAGGCCAATGGCACCTGGCCTGGATCAGGAATAGTGTAGCCAGCAGGACCAGGGAAGTGCTTTCCCTGTACTTGGCACTGGTGAGGCCACATCTTGAGTGCTGTGTGCAGGTCTGGGCCCCTCAGTTTAGGAAGGATCTTGATATGCTGGAGCATGCCTAGAGGAGGGCAACAAGGCTGATAAGGATCTGAAACAAAAGCCCTATGAAGATCAGCTCAGTTGTTTAGCCTGGAGAAAAGGAGGGTCAGGCATGACCTTATCACTCTCTACAACTCCCTGAAAGGGGGTTGTAGCCAGCCAAGTGTCAGTCTCTTCTCCCAGACAACCAGTGATAGAACAATAGGACACAGACTAAAGATGTGCCAGGAAGGTTCAGGTTGGACATCAGGTAGAATTTCTTCACAGAAAAGGTGATTGGGCATTGGAATGGACTGCCAGAGAAGTGGTGGAGTCACCGTGCCTGGAGGTGTTTAAGAAAGGCTGGAGGTGGCACTCAATGCCATGGTCTGCTTGGCAAGGTGCTGTTAGGTCATAGATTGGACTTGGTGATCACAAAGGTCTTTCCCAACCTAGCTGATTCTGTGATTTGAAAACATAAAGATTTTTAATTTGGCAGCTGCAGCTGTGCTGTGCAAGTGAGACCTAAGGCTGTCCAGACACTAATGACTCATTCCTATCTTTCTTACCCCTTCAACTTTCAGAGCATATGTTCCAGTATTTCTACTATAGTACAATGGGAACTATATTTACTGCCTTAGCAGTGGGAGGAAATTTTTCTATGATAACATGATAAAACAATGAAGAGCTTGAGTGGGATCAGTTACCACCAGGAAATACTGGCAAAGAGTACAGTCCCTGTGCAGTTCAATATAGCTCCTTGATAGATTTTCAGGCTGAAGAGATTTTGTGAATAAAAATGGGTACAAAGTTCCTGTTGCTTGGTATGTGGAAGAATAACATGGCATAACATGGGAGGCACAGTTTTCTCAGGCTTTCAGACAGTCTTTTTTAAAAATACTTTTAAATGGAAGAATGTTACTATCTTCATACTACGAGATCTTTTTTCCATTCTTTGAGTTGTGCTTTCCTGCCTTTTTTCCAAATAATTACAGACCTGGTAATCTGTCAAATTGAAAATATTGGACAACGTATTTGTTGTCCAATCAGGAGCCAAAGTATAAATGCTGCTTCTTTTAGTGCAGACCTTTAACTTGTCTCTCACCTATTGCTGTTGTGGCTCACCTGGCTGTGATGATCTCTGGGACCAGTCCGGAGAATTCCTTCACTGTTTTTTGTACAAATATGAATTATTTAAAAGCACTCCATGTGTATGTCAGGCATAAGTGTTAGAAATTAGAACTACTGCAGCTACTAGAAGGATCAAAATTGGCACTACTATATTTAAAGCTCTAAGAGCTCTCTGAAAAAACCCAATATTATTAATATGTAAAGCACAAAGATTAAAAAGTCTGCAGGAAATTCTGTGCTAAAATTAATCATTTTCTTTGGGATATTTAGTA